GGCTCATTTCAAGCTACAAACAGCATTGCCTTCAGTTTCTGAGGTAGACAGATATTGAGAAATGTTGAGTGGGATGCAATAATCCAATTGCTGTACAAATTCTATATTCCACTAGTACTTCATTTATCAATCTAATATACAGTCACCAAATACCAGATCTTGTAGAACGATAAGTTTATTGGTTTTACTGTCCTCAAATAGACTTTAACAAGGATATTATCTTTATTTTGCAATTCCTTCTTGACTTACAGCTCCCCTTTTCTTTCACCTCCAGACAAGAGCTAATTAAATAGTCTATTTTTTTGCTTTGTAATAGAGTTCAAGTATTCATTTTATGTATTTCAACATTAATGGGAAAGACATATTATGAAATTTCACCATGCAACATTCATGGAAATTAAGGATGAATAGGCATTAATTGATGAAAAATGAGATCCTAAATCTGTTAATTCTGTGATAAAATATCTAATAAAAATCATTTGCCATTTCTATGAAGAAACACATAAGCCCCCAACAGGCACAGCTGAGGCCTACTTGAAGAACACATGAGTATTCTAAGGTTAGTTTGTATGTTTCTGAATTTATTTTGTTTTGTGTGACGTTCATCTTTTGCTTCTTCAGTGTTCTTAAAATTAGTACTTCATGACATCTGTGATGTAACCCACCAAAATGGGTAACACTGTGAACAGATATGTCAGCGTACGTGAGTTTTGGGCAGAGGCCAAAAGAGCTGTGTTTTTAAATATTTATTTACAAAGTGCCATGGGAGCACACCTTTTGGAAAAAAAAAAAAATTACTTCATCCTTAGGTATGGAGATAACACTGCTAGTTTTTGACAAAGCTGGTGCCTTACCTACTTTTTTCTTTACATGAATGGGATTTGTCAGTTCTATTAAATACAAATGCAGTTTAAACCACTACACACTAACTTAATATTTACCATGGGGCAAGCTCTATGCTGGACCCTAGTACAAAGCTGGGTAAAAATAGATATGATCTTTGCTTGATCACATGGCAACAGGGTGGAGAAAGTAAGTTGAAAATAAACATTATATAAATGGACAAGCATTATGGAGTCCTGGTGTGGTGCTGTGGGTTAATGTGCTGGACAGCAAAATTGGTTTGAACCTCAAGGTTGGCAGTTCAACCTCACCAGCTCCTCCATGGAAACCCTATACTGAGTTGCTATGGGTCAAAACTGATTTGAGTTATGGTGCTGTGGGTTAATGTCCCAGACTGGAAAGCCGTTTGAACTGCAAGGTTGGTGGTTCAAGCTCACCAGCTACTCCTTGGAAACCCAATACAGGGTTGCTATGGATTGGAACTGATTCGACAGCACTTAACAACAACAACAATTATGGGTTGGAGCAAACTCAATGGCACCTAACAACATTATGAAAAAGATACATGAATCAAGAGGCACACAACAAATAATTCCTCCAGTTGCCAAGGGAAGAGTCGTGCTTTTGGCTCTACAAGTTATGTTTAAAATAATATTATTGATTTTCGCCTACTAACCTATTAGTAAAAGCCTTTTGGGAAATGACATTCCCATACACCCAGTTGCTTATGCCAGAAATCTATGTGTCAGCCTTAATTTTCTCTTCTACCACCTTCCACATGAAAAACATCAACAAGTCCTAGGAACTACATCCTGAATCCATTGACTTTTCTTCTTTGCTAAGTTCCTAGCTCAAGCCACCATTGTTTCTCAACTGAATAGCTGCAAAAGTTTTCTAATTGGACTTCCAGTTTTTACTCTTGCAGTTTTAGAGTCTATTTCCAACACAGTAGGCAAGCAGTATATCTATATTTACAATGTAAATCACTTTTATGTGTAAAATTCTCTAGTAGCATCTCATTGGACTTAAAATAAAACCTAGTCTTTTCTTCATGATCTCCTTGATATGGCCCTTACTGCCATCTGCAGTCTACACACACACACCCCTCCCTACCCTATACATGATGATCAAACCAGGCTGATATGCTTTTGTGTCTTGAATATGCCAAAGGTCTTTGCAGGCAATGTTAACGCCTTCTGGACTGCTCTACTCTCTGATCGTCACAGGACTGGCTATTTATCATCCAGTCTCAGATCATATGTCAATGTCTCGGAAAGGCTTTCCATGACAACCCTATCTAAAATCAGCTCCCTCCTCCCTGAGGGGTCTCATCAGTGGTATATTGTTGTTGTTATGTGTTGTGCAGTCGGTTCCGACTCATAGCGACCCTGTACAGGGTTTCCGGGGCTGTAAATCTTTATGGAGCAGAAAGCATCATCTTTCTCCTGTGGAACAGTTTGTAGTTTCGAACTGCTGACCCTGAGGTTAGCAGACCAATTCGTAACCACTACGCTACCAGAGCTACTTATGTGAAATTATCTGTATTGCTCTGCTGGCTTGTTAATATCTGTGTCTCCCAGGAGACTATTAAGTGAATGAACAGGCACCCAGAACAGAGGTTGACACGTAGCAAGTGCCACAATAACACTTATTGAATGAATGATTGAATAGATGAAAATCTAAATCAGTTGCCTAAAATATTCCACCATATGGCCTGCATTATGAGGTATTCATATTCTCTCCACAGAGCTGGTTTATATGTAAATATCCTGTTCTCTGTGTTAGAGGAAGTACATCCAGAATGCTCCTTAGAATCCAGGATGGCAAGACCTCATCTCTCATACTTTGGACATATTATCAGGAGGGACCAGTCCCTAGAGAAGGTTATCATGTTAGGTCAAGCAGAGGGTCAGTGAAAAAGGGAAAGATCCACTGGACTGGCACAGTGGCAGCAGCAATGGGCTCAAGTGTAACAATCGTGAGGATGGTGTAGGACCACACAGTGTTTCCTTTCGTTGTGCCTAAGATTGCTTTGAGCTGGAAACAACATGCTCTGGTAGGATCATGTTCAGAGGCCGACAAGTTCATTGATAATACAAGGGGTAAAAATAAGAAACTTGAGAATCATGAACCTGACTTCCAGTCTTGAGATTTGCCACATTTTCCTTGTACGGGCTCAGGTATGAGGTGTTGTGTGCTAAAAGATCCACTGTGAGGGGTTGAGAGACCAGGCTATAGAGTCAAACCTTGTGTGTCAATGACATAATATCTTATACCTGCATCCTGACATCACAAACAAACAGAAGAGCTATGAATCCTGGAGCCACTAATGATTAAGTAATGATGTGATTTTGGGGTTCATCATTCAGCATGCTTGAGCCCCAGTGCCTTCATTTGCAGAATGTAAAGAAGGGCATTTCTCATATAATTGTTTGTAGTTAGAATGAGATTGTTGTTGTTGTTTTAAGTGCCGTCGAGTCGGTTCCGACTCACAGCGACCCTGTATAAGGTTTCTGAAAAACAGTTGGTGAGCTTGAACTGCCAACCTTGTAGTTCAAGCCGACTTTGCAGTCCACTGCATTAACCCACAGCTCCAAACCAGGACTCCTAGAATGAGATAGTCCATGTAAATTTCTGAACACAGTGTCTTGCTTATAGCATGTGTTCCACAAATGTTTTTTATTAATCTTCTAAGCTGACATTTTACTCACCTCTGTGATGGGTGTAGTAAATCATGTTCATAATTGAAGAGTTAAAATGTGAAAGATGGAAAAGGCATCTGACAAGAATAGAAACCTAAACATGTAAACTAAGACTGCTAACATTAGTATACCAATGATTACTGAAAGGCCTAATTATGTCTTTATTTCCATTAATTAATTCAACAAAAATTTGCTGATAATCTTCTATGTGTTGTTGTTGTAAAGTGCTGTCAAGTGGGTTCCAACTCACAGTGTCCCTGTATAGGGTTTTTGAGGAGCAGCTGGTGAGTTTGAACCAACTATGTTATAGTTCAAACCAGTCTTGTGGTCCAGGGCTTATTCTACAAAATCACACCAGAACAGTACAAGGTACTGTACTAGGTACTGAGTTATAGCAATTAACAAAGTACTGTGTTGTTATTGTTAAGTGCCATCGAGTCGGTTCTGGTGCATAGCGACCCTGTACAGGGTTTCTGAGGAGCAGTTGAAGAGCGTGAATCACCAACCTTGCAGTTCAAATGGCTTTGCAGTCTGGCGTCACACCAGGACTCCTAACAAAGTACTATACATGTCTTTAAAAAGCAAATTTCTCATAAGGAAGCCAGTCAAATATACCCATAATCATGGTACAGAACAAAGAGTTCTGAGGGTTATTGTAATGGATGTTATTTGAGGTTATAGAGAAGTGACTTGATACAATATGGTGAGGGCAAGTCGGATATAAATGACTTCCTGAAGAAGCCAAGTTTTGAAGGAGCAGTATCAGTTAACCAAGAGAAAGCCAGGGATCAAGAGAAGGAAGAACATTTCCAGAAAAGGGAGTGGCATGCATAAAGACCCACGCTGGGAAATGGCATGGAGCGACCAGAGTGTGGCAAACATTCAGTAAGACTTCTGTAAGAACACATGGTGATTTACCATACATTGTCAAATCAGCTAGCTAGTTAGCATGAAATGCATATAACTATCTTGAAACAGTCTTATAAAAGTATGAGAAACTAAACTTTCTGTTTTAAATGAGCCCTAAAATCCCTGCATTTCACTGTCACAGAAATTATGGATTTTGTAATATAAATCCAGATGTTATGTGGATAACATAAAACTTATTTGGGGGATACTGAAATGATTAATAAGCTAATTGTTCACCCATCTACATCATTCTGCCCTTGAACACAATTTAAGTGGGAAGGGAATGAGAAATAGATTCCCTTGTTATTTATATTTAACTAAATCTACATTCTGTTCCTATTGAGATTAACAATTAGATTTCTAATTAGTTTTCCAAAATGGATCCATGGATTTATTTCTTGTAGAAATGGGCTAAATGTAGAAAACATTACACTCTTTTTAAATTTAACTTAGACAGTCAAACCTTGTGTGTCAATGGCATGATCTCATTCACACTCCTCCTGAAATCACAAACAAACAGAATGAATAAGTCCCTAGAAAACTCACCATCATTTCTCAGTATTAGTGGTGTGGGTGGTCCCAGAACCTTGTGGTTGGTCACGGTATTGGTAACCACACAGGTATAATTACCCACGTCTGATTTTTCTACTTTGGCTATATACAGATTTCCAGTCTCTTGAGAAACGAAGCGGCGGTTATCTTGATAGGCAGGGTATTCGTTGAAGATCCAGGCATAGCTGAGCTCTGCAAATCAAAGGAATCATCGTTACGAATATAACTTTTGTCACTTGGAATCTTCTGTATGAATGAAAGACAAGGTCCAGTTAGAAAATCATGCTGATACTCAGAGATTCTTCTATAGTCTGCTAAATTTGCAATCCTGGTATAGAACTGTAGGATAAGTACTGGATGGCAAGGTTGGTGTGAACTGAAAGATCGGTAGTTCAAAATGACGAGCCGCTCTTCAGACATTCTATACAGGATCACTATGAGTCTAGAGAATTGACTCGACAGCACTTAACAACACTAAATATGAATATAAATATAAAAAAGGGAGCATAGTAGATTCATAGGATGACCAGTGGACTGAGAACCACAGTCCAGTGGTTTGAGCCCCCCAGTCACTGTATGAGAGAGAGAGATGAGGTTTTCTGCTCCTACAAAGATTTACAATTTCAGAAACCCTACACAGGGTCTCTATGAGTCAAAACCAACTGAAGTGCACTAAACAATAAAACATTAAGAAGAAGCAATATGAAGTCTCTTAAAATTTTAACTTAGTCTTTCTATTATTGGTTCTGCTGTAGGACAAGTACTGGCAGTTCATACCCATCAGCTGCTCTGTGGGTGAAGATGAAACTATCTGCTTCTGTATAGATTTACAGCCTTGGAAACGCTGAGTCAGAATTGTCTTGACAGAACATAACTGCTACCACTATCAACGTGCCACAGACTTGCACAGCACTTACCATTTTCCAATATATTTTATAGGGTAACTTTTTTTTTTTTTTTTTAACAGAAAAGTTGGCACAAGATACTAATCCAAATTGTTAGCCCTGGTTGGAGATGAGTAATTCCCAAGTCTTAATCCACAATCATTTAGCAATGTTTCCTTCTATCAACTCAAATTCATATTTTTCACTTACCTGTTAAATTAAATTCATTTTATACTCTTTTAATGAAATGATGGTTTATTATTGTAGCAAATATTTCCTTAATATATGCTGAGTGGAAGTATTATTATATCCATAAAGAAATGCATATAAAATAACATTCCAAGAGTAACATTTTCCCAAATATTTTTCATCCCAGAATGTCAGTTTTTGTTGTTGCTAAGGGCCATCAAACCGGTTCTAACTCACAAGAAACCCTATATAGGGCTTCTGAAGAGCACCTGGTGGGTTTGAACTGTCAACCTTGTGGTTTGCAGTCCAGTATGGATGCTACAGCTCCACACCAAGAGTGCCAGTGGATGTGTGGAATAGTTAGTCATGGCTGAAAGTGTTCCTTTGAACATTCTCATTTTCCTTTAGCATTAACTATTTTGTGAATGAGCACACATAAGCTCCTGTGTTCAATTTTGTAGTCATATGGCATTGAGCTTAAAATAATTTGGTGCTGTGAACTATTGTGCTCCGAGGAAATCAAACTCCTTCAGCTCTATGTATCCAATGATTCATCTCTTTAAAGTATGATTTTCAGACTAGTCCAAAGTTGGAGACGCAACATATTTGCCATTGGCAGTCACAAGTCAAAGTGCCCCATTTTATATTGAGAAGTTACTCTGTGACAGGATAGAAGCAGGACAATTAGATGCAAGGGAGTCCTTCTGATTTCAGAACTAGTGGTCTGGGTTATTGTATACATGTATAAAGTGTCTTTGGTAAACCGCAAACAGATCACTTCAGTCTTGAATCAAGAACATGAATTACTGAAAGAGGCATTTTTGTAGTTAATACGTCAATGAGTCTCAATTGTGATTGACCTCAATAACTGAATGTGAAACAGGAAATATATTTTGCCTTAATAGTCCACTGTTTGCCTACAAAGAAAGGGTCACAGAGGTTGCTTTCTCTTATCACTGGATTATAACATTTCCACATGGGCTAGTTTTGATGGATATAATTATGTTTATATGAGAATAGCTCATCATTTTATTTATACATGTGCATGTAATTATAAGTAACCCCATGCTGATGTCAAGAGGATACTCAGTGCAAATAAGCAAGTGCTTCCCAGCAAGCTTCTTACTTCTTGGAGAAATTGAAAACTAAGGGACGAAAAGCCCAGACAAGAAATCATGAAGTTCAATCAGTTATGAAAGTCAATAAATAAAGATTTTAATAATCTTTTAGAACACAATCTGCTACTTTCTTACTCCATATAGTATGTGCATTTCAGGCAAACTGAGCATATCAATTTTCTCAAAAGAACAATGAGAGAGCACTGCCTAGTCCCTTATTTGCTAGAAAGGAGTTTTATATATAAATGTGCATCTCAAAAGTTACCAGGTAGGAGTTAGAAAGTAATTTACCAGCACAATATTAATAAACCCATATCTCTCTGAGAACATTTGTAATCATAAATGAAACTATTTTTTTTTCCCTTGAGGACATTTTTTAAAAGTGTTTCTTACTTAGTGACTGCAAAGCTTTCTGGGTTATGGGGAGGAGACTGATTTAGGAACTTCTTGTTGTTGATGTTACGTGCCCTCAAATTGGTTTCAACTCACAGTTACCCTGTAAAGGATTATAAGGAGTGGCTGGTGAGTTTGAACCACCAACCATGGGTTAGCAGTTCAGTGCTTATCCCACAGCACCAAGCCAAAACTCAAAGGGGCCCCATATAAGGTTTCTGAGGCTGTAAATCTTTGAGGAAGCAACAAATCTCCTCTTTCTCCTATACAACACCTTGTGGGTTCAAACCACCAATCTTGTGGCTTGCAGTCCAGTGTTTATCCTATAGAGTCACCTTGCTCCTAGAAAGTTATATGGACTATGGGCATTTAGAAAAAAAAGTCATCTGTCTACTGTTTTTTTTTTTTTTTTTTCCTAACTGGAAGAAAAACCCAAAAGAGCTGAGTTCAAATATATGTAATATATAAGGTAAATCATTGAAACTCTCTCACTTTAAACTTAGTCCATAAAATGAGGATAATAATACACAAGATGCAGACAGTGAGAATTCACTTCTCTGAAGGCACTCTGAAACCTATAAAGGGCTAATAGATGCTAGTTGTTACTGGTACTTCATTTCATCAGATTGATCATTTTATAAGGTATAAAAACATCAATTTTCATGCCATTTTTATCTCTTTAAAATGTTAGTTACTGTTTTCACTGCTCTTGTAACTTCTTAGTGCTTGATGCAAAGAACCCTAAGAGTACAATGTAGACAAACATCATGCTTTTTATCTTATTTATATATCACTTGGCTTTTTATTGATCTTCCCAGATATTGCATTTTTTTTCACAAATTGATTGATTGCGGCAATCCTGCATCGAGTAAGTCCATTGAGGCCTACTTCCAGCAGCATGTGCTCACTTGGTGTCTGTGTCACATTTTGGTAATGCTAAAAATATTTCAAAGTTTTTCATAATGCTCTTACACACTTAATAGACTACACTAAAGTGTACACAAAACATTTCAAGATCTATCTTAAAGTACAACGCTGTCTGTGATAGGACAATACCAGCTCATCTACAAGGAAAACCAGTTCATAGAACTATAATTCAATTGTTCTCACGACATACTAAAGCCAGTGGTGATGAAAATGAATTCTACTGAGTTTTTCAGTGTGAAACAGATCGAATATGTTATCAAGCTGTATTGATAATTACTGCTGATTGGAATGCAAAGGTTGGAAACAAAGAGAAAGCATCAGTCCTCATAAAATACGGCCTTGGTGATAGAAATGGTGCTAGACATCAAATAAAGTTTTGCAGAAAGAATGACTTATCTGTTGTGAATAACTTTTAAGAACAACATTAAAAAGACAAGACAACTATATACATAGACCTCACCAGACAGAAAACACAGAAATTAAACTGTCTACATCTGTAGGAAGACATGGTAGAAAAGCTCAATTTCTTAGCCAAAACAAGGCGAGAAGCAAACTGTGGAACAGACCATCAATTGCTCATAAGCAAGTCCAGGATGAAGCTGAGGAAAATCAAAACAAGTTCACGACAGCCAGCATATGACCTGGAACATATCCCATTTGAACTTAGAGACTATCTCAATAACAGATTTGATGCATGAGGCACTAATGAATGAAGACCAGAAGAGTTGTGGGAAGACATCAAGAACATCATATAGGAAGAAACCAAAAGGTCATTAAAAAGAAAGGAAAGGAAGACCCAAATGGATGTCAGAAGAGACTCTAACACCTGCTCCCCAGTATGTTGTTGTTGTCAGGTGACATCGAGTCGGAACCGACTCATAGCGACCCCATGCACAGCAGAATGAAACAATGTCCGATCCTGGGCCAACCTCACTACCGCTGCCACACTTGAGTCCATCAATGATGCCACCTGGCCAATCCATCTCGTTAGGGGTCTTCCTCTTTTTCTCTGACCCTCCACCCTACGCAGCAGGACATCCTTCTCCAGTGACTGTTCCCTCCAGACAATGTGTCCAAAGTAGGAGAGACGAAGCCTAGCCATCCTGGCCTCCAAGGAGCACTCTGGCTGCACTTCTTCCAAAACAGATCTATTGGTTCTTTTGGCAGTCCATGGCACTTTCAGTATTCTCCTCCAACACCACAACTCAAAGGCATCAATTCTTCTACGATCTTCTTTATTCACTGTCCAGCTCTTGCATCCATATGAGGTTACTGAAAATACCATGGCTTGGGTCAGGTGCACCTTAGTCCTCAAGCTGACATCTCTGCTCTTCAATACTTTAAAAAGTTCCTGTGCAGCAGATTTGCCCAATGCAATACGGCTACAATCATACATTGACAGAGAACTTCCAGAGGTTGAAGCTGGATTCAGAAGAGGCCTTGGAACAAAAGATATCATTGCTGATGTCCGATGGATCTTGGCTGAAAGCAGAGAATACCAGAAAAATGTTTACCTATGCTTTATTGACTATGCAAAGGCTTTTGATTGTGTGGATCATGACAAGCTATGGACAACATTGAGAAGTATGAGTATTCCAGACAATTAATTGTACTTCTGAGAAATCTGTGCCTAGACCAAGAAGCAGTTGTTCGAACAGAGCATGGGAACACTGAATGTTTT